TACCTGTACATCATTTCCGCTTTCCGAAGACGAATCTGATTTGTCAGAAGCATTATTCCACATAGAGTCAACATCGCTACCAGGTTCTTCATTTTCTTTGGGATTTTCCATACTCTTAGATGTGTCAGAATTTTTGTCATGCTTGTCAGTTCCATCTTTTTCACAACCATTAAAGCTTCCGGACGAGGTGGATGCAGATGAGGTAAGCTGAGTCTAAACATTAGACAGTGCAAAGGGATTGGCTGATTTTCGCGGAAGAGGGGTGGAGGGAAGCCAGGACCCACCAGGTACGAATTACGACACATGATAGTGAGCTTTGCGAAATGGTGAAAAGAAAGTCTTTACCTTCTTTCTCTTTTTGAACGGAGATGAAGTTCTATGTTTGTGAATGCGCGTTCGGTTCTGGAATATAGTAAAGTTTGTGAAATAATAATTGACTGTGATAAACAGATACATTTCTAAAATGATTCAGCATCTCGAATAATTCATCCAATTTCAGATAAAAACTTTATTTTCCTAGCTAAACTTATAGATTTATTCAAAAATAAAAAAATAAAGAGACCGATAAAAATCACCTCTTTGGCTGCCACATTTTCATCATCGCTCTCGGAACTGCTGCTAGTGCTAGCGCTCGATACCGATATCAAAGCTTCCTAAGGATTAGTAACTTAGATAATTTTTCCTGGAAGTTGCACTTTTCTCCTGTCCAGATAACAACTTACAGGAGAAGATTTGGGCTCGGCTGACTTGACTTTCAGTGGCGTTGAAGTTTTGCCCTTCAATTTGCTCACCGCTTCGGTTGTTGACGGACTTTCTCGAGTAGAAGTTTTACACATCTGGAAGTTCAAATTTGAGCCATTCAAAATGAGAATGAAACAGTAAGCTGGCGATGTTTAAAAAAATACCTTCTCACTTTCAGACGAATCAGAATCTGAGCTAGTACTAGGAGAACGTAATCGTAATGGATTTGGAGGAGCTGTCTGAAGAGGATATGATATTTGACACAACGGACAAATCCAATGCTTTCACAGAATGTCTGACGACATCAAGCACCTGAAATTTCCTATCCTTTTCTCGAATTCGAGTGATAAGGCTTTGTACAGTTTCTCCAGAAGCAGATACATCCGTTGCCTAACAAAACCAACATGATTTGAAATATAGAATCTTGTTAGTTAACACTCAGACAATGCTTACTTTGTAGGTGGTCTTGCATACATCTGGAATATGACATGGAAAAGCTAGTTGGACCAAAGTTGTCAGGCGATGGTTGTGTTTCGCCCTATCAGCATTGAATTGGTCTCGAACTGCTGCACTTTCTATTGATAGGTAACCATTTTTAAGGTCATGATCCTCCTATAAACAATAATTGCAACGAAAATTTTAATATATTGAATCAAAGTAATTATCGTTGGTTTCGCTCACCTTCAGATGTGAGTTAATGCGAGGGAAATCGTTCGAACGGAAAGAACATAATTTGATAGGGCAACTAAGTTCATTTTGAAAATGGATACGCAAAACATGGTTTCGTCTGGAACAAGAGGGATAACTTCTCTACCAAAGACTCGAAAAAGCAGATAAAGTTACCTCGCTGACTGACATTTATACTCCTTTCGACATCCGCCAATTTGACACTGTAAGTCGTTATAGGTCATAGTTGGATATGCTTTTTGCATCTGAATAATCAATTGAGAAGACGTAA